AGACCATCTCCAGTCAGCTAAAGGCTAGAAGACCATCTCCAGTCAGCTAAAGGCTAGGAGACCATCTCCAGTCAGCTAAAGGATAGGAGACCATCTCCAGTCAGCTAAAGGATAGGAGACCATCTCCAGTCAGCTAAAGGCTAGGAGACCATCTCCAGTCAGCTAAAGGCTAGGAGACCATCTCCAGTCAGCTAAAGGCTAGGAGACCATCTCCAGTCAGCTAAAGGCTAGGAGACCATCTCCAGTCAGCTAAAGGATAGGAGACCATCTCCAGTCAGCTAAAGGCTAGGAGACCATCTCCAGTCAGCTAAAGGCTAGAAGACCATCTCCAGTCAGCTAAAGGATAGGAGACCATCTCCAGTCAGCTAAAGGCTAGAAGACCATCTTCAAGAAGTTTAATGAATGTCTGAAATCAGCAGGTTGTTTGAAAATGTTGAAAAACTAAAGGTTAATTTATGTTTAGTCATTTTAGTCCAGATGAGATTAATGACTTTGACATTTTAAATATTAATTAGAGCTACCAATCATTTGATTAGATTTTTTCCACTAAATTTTCCTTTTATCAGTTTTAAATGATCCCACTGGACCAACAGTTTTATCCCCGTCTGTACTGTAAACATGTTAACTCAGAGCACCAGTCACTAGTTTACGACAAATGTGGGACTTAATGAACATAAAGCAAACACTCTTCATAAAAATAGCTCATTTCTAGTAACTGATGTCACCTTTAATCCCCTCTGAGAGGTTATTATGGGATGTTCTGGAATTAAAACTGAATCAGGTCTCCTGATTCAGGAGACATGAAAAAGTCGAACCACCTCTGTCCAACTGAGCTTTTAGCTCCACAGTTTGGCTCCTGAAAAAGATGAGAGCGCGTTTAAACTAGCAGAGAGTAGACCTCAACCAGGACAGATGGAGAGGATTTAGTGGAGAGCAGAGCAGATGTTTTCCCTCTGAAGATAAAATACCTGGAGAGTGGGGGGAATTCAGTGTTCGATGGATCAGTAAAGACACAAATTATTAACAGTGGCCTCAAAACGAGCATCACAATGGTTTGTTTCTGACAATTAGCAGCTAAATAAAACAACACTAAAGTCTGTCAAAATAACAATGATGGACATGTTGTGGCTGTCCTGGAATGGCACTTCATGGAACATTGATGACCATGATAATAATAATAATAATAATAATAATAATAATAATAATAATAATAATAATCCATCCATTATCATCCGCTTATGCGGAGTTGGGTCGCGGGGGCAGTAGCCTAAGGCGAGAGGCCCAGACCTCCCTCACCCCAGCCACTTGGGCCAGCTCCTCCAGGGGAATCCCAAGGCGTTCCCTGGCCAGGTGAGAGACATAGTCCCTCCAACGTGTCCTGGGTCTACCTTTAGGTCTCCTCCCTGTTGGACGTGTGCGTCCTGACCAGATGCCCGAGCCACCTCTACTGACTCCTCTCGATGAGGAGGAGCAGCAGGTCTACTCCGAGCCCCTCCCGAATGACCGAGCTTCTCACCCTATCTCTAAGGGAGAGCACAGCCACTCTTCGGAGAAAACTCATTTCGGCCGCTTGTATCCGCGATCTCGTTCTTTCGGTCACTACCCAAAGCTCATGACCATAGGTGAGGGTAGGAACGTAGATCGACCGGTAAATCGAGAGCTTCGCCTTCTGACTCAGCTCTCTCTTCACCACGACAGACCGGTACAACGCCCGCATCCCTGCAGATGCAGCACCAATCCGCCTGTCGATCTCACGCTCCATCTTTCCCTCATTCGTGAACAAGACCCTGAGATAATTAAACTCCTCCACTTGGGGCAGGACCTCATCCCTGACCCGGAGAAGGCATTCTACCCTTTTCCGAATCAAGACCATGGTCTCAGATTTAGAGGAGCTGATTCTCATCCCAGCTGCTTCACACTCGGCTGCGAACCGCTCTAGCGAAAGCTGAAGATCACGTTCTGATGAAGCCAACCGGACCACATCATCTGCAAAAAGCAGAGACCTGATCCTCAGGCCACCAAAACGGATGCCCTCCACACCTTGGCTGCACCCAGAAATCCTGTCCATAAAGGTTATGAACAGAATCGGTGACAAAGGGCAGCCTTGGCGGAATCCAACTCTCACTGGGAACGAGCCCGACTTACTGCTGGCAATGCGGACCAAGCTCTGACACCAGTCATACGGGGACCTAACAGCCCGTATCAGAGGGCCTGGTACCCCATACTCCCGGAGTACACCCCACAGGGTCCCCCGAGGGACGCGGTCAAACGCCTTCTCCAAATCCGCAAAACACATGTAGACTGGTTGGACAAATTCCCACGCACCCTCCAGGATCCCCCTAAGGGTATAGAGCAGGTCCAGTGTTCCACGGCCAGGACAAAAACCACATTGCTCCTCCTGAATCTGAGGTTCAACAATCCGACGGACCCTCCTCTCCAGAACCCCTGAATAGACCTTACCAGGGAGGCTCAGGAGTGTGATCCCCCTGTAGTTGGAACACACCCTGCGGCCCCCCTTTTTAAACAAGGGGACCACCACCCCGGTCTGCCAGTCCAGTGGGACTGGCCCCGATGTCCACGCGATATTGCAGAGCCACGTCAGCCAACACAGCCCCATAACATCCAGAGCCTTAAGGAACTCCGGGTGGATCTCATCCAGCCCTGGAGCCTTGCCACAGAGGAATTTTTTAACCACCTTAGTGACCTCAGCACCAGAGATTTGAGAGGTCAACTTAAAGTCCCCAGACTCTGCTTCCTCACTGGAAGATGTGTCGGTGGGATTGAGGAGGCCCACCGATCCACAACGTCCTGAGTAGAGGTCAGCACCACACCTTCCCCACTATAGAGAGTGTTGGTAGTGCACTGCTCCCCCCCCCCCCCCCCCCCCCCGAGGCGCCAGATGGTGGAACAGAATCTCCTCGAAGCCGTACAGAAGTCTTGCTCCATGGTCTCACCGAACTCCTCCCATGCCCGGGTTTTTGCCTTGGCGACCACCCGAGCTGTGTTCCACTTGGTTTGCCGGTACCCGTCAGCTGCCTCTGGAGTCCCCACAGTCCCAAAAAGGCCTGAAAGGACTCGTTCTTCAGCTTGACAGCATCCTTAAACTGCCGGTGTCCACCAGCGGGTTCGGGGGTTGCCACCACGACAGGCATCGACGATCCTGCGACCACAGCTCCGGTCTGCCACCTCAACAATGGAGACACAGAACAGGGTCCATTCGGACTCAATGTCCCCACCTCCCCCGGAACATTTTGGAAGTTCTGTCGGAGGTGGGAATTGATGCTCCTTCTGACACTCTGCCAGATGTTCCCAGTAGACCCTCGCGATATGTTTGGGCCTGCCTGGTCTGACCTGCATTCTCCTCCACCATCTGAGCCAACTCACCGCCAGGTAGTGGTCAGTTGACAGCTCTGCCCATCTCTTCACCCGAGTGTCCAAGACATGCAGCCGCAGGTCAGATGAAACATCAAAGTCAATCATCGAGCTGCAGCCTAAGGTATCCTGGTGCCAAGAGCACATTTGGACAATCCATGACTGGCACAGAAGTCCAATAACGAAACACCACTCAAATTCAGATCAGGGGGCCGTTCCTCCCAACCACACTTCTCCAGGTCTCACTGTCATTGCCCGCATGAGCGTTAAGTCCACCAGCAGAACGAGGGAGTCACCGGAAGGAGCACTTTCCAGCACCCCCTCCAAGGTCTCCAAAAAGGGTGGGTAGTCTGAACTGTAGTTTGGTGCATAAGCACAGACCACGGTTAGAACCTGTCCCCCCACACATAGGAGGAGGGAGGCTACGCTCTCATTCACTGGGGTAAACCCCAATGTACAGGCACCAAGATGGGGGGCAACTACTTGGCGCCTCTCAGTGAGAGCAACTCCAGAGTGGTAGAAAGTCCAACCCCTCTCAAGGAAACTGGTTCCAGAGACAGAGCCATGCGTTGAGGTGAGTCCGACTATATCTAGTCAGAATCTCTCAACCTCACACACCAACTCAGACTCCTTCCCCACCAGAGAGGTGACATTCCACGTGCCAAGAGCCAGCTTCTGCAGCCAAGATCAGACCGCCAAGGTCTCCGCCCTCGACCACCACCCGTCACACACTGCACCCGACCCCTTTGGCCCCTCCCACGAGTGGTGAACCCATGGGAAGGGGGACCCATGTTTCCTCTTAGGGCTGTGCCCAGCCGGGCTCCATGGGTGAAAGCCCGGCCACCAGGCGCTCGCCAACGTGCCCCACCTCCAGGCCTGGCTCCAGAGGGGGGCCCCGGTGACCCACGTCCGAGCGAGGGAACGCAGTTTCCATTTATATAATTAATCATAAGAGGTTTTCGGGCTGCTCTTTGTCTGATCCCTCACCTAGGACCTGTTTGCCATGGGTGACCCTACCAGAGGCAGACAGCCTCAGACAGCTTAGCTCCTAGGATCTTTGAGACACTCAAACACCTCCACCACAGTAAGGTGGCAACAGTAATATTATTATATTACTAATATTATTATATTTGGTGCATCTCTACATATCTAGTTAAAGAGCAAGTCACCCCCTACCAGAGTATTACTCCACTCCCACTTCCTGTTTGAAAAATGCAACAAATGCTGTTGCCTAGCAGACCGAGAGGGCAGAGCCGCTATCAACACACACACACACACAGGCTCACAACGACATTGTGACATCATATGGTACCAGCTAATGTTCTAGGGTACCTCTTAGTCAATAGTGATGGCAGATTTAAATTCAAATGCAGTGCAGAGTTTTTACCTGACAACGGCACCACACTGACAGTTTTAGGCAGAAAATTTAAATTTTAACAAAAATGCACTAAAGTGCAAAACTATTGACTACGTGTCTGCAGCACGATTAGACACGCATTTACATAGTTTATCAGGAAAAAAAGTTTATTTGGGGGTGAGTTGCTCTTTAAATTTGTTTTTAAAAGATTTAAAGTTTTTTATTTGAATTAAAATATAAGTGAAAACACAACTACCGACACCTTTTTTGATTCCTTTTTAGTCATTTTCAAGTTTTCTGAGTGAAACAATTTACAAATTTGGAAATATTAATGGCAGTAAACAGGGAACCCTAAAACCTAGTAATTCCTGGAAGAAACATGTTTGATGCTGGATAAAATGTTCCTACAGGAACAGCGACAGCTAAACCCTCTCAGAGTAAAGCTTCCTAAACCGATTCTTGGCAAGACAAACAGCCCGTTGTAGCGTTCAAGTAAAAGGAGGTTTGATCTGTATCACATTTTCTTGTTTTAAACGTAAAAACAAAGTTTTCATACCAGCTTAAAGGTGACGACAAAACAACAAAATACCAATTAGCTCTTTAACAATTATTTTTTCACAGATTATTAAGTGCAAAAATGCATTTCTGTACCTGTTTGGGTTTCTACTGTAACGAGTCAGAGATCACATGAATTTTCAGACTTTCAGGGGCAGAAAAGTGACCAATCAGGAGGGGAAATGGAGGCACTTCCTGCACCTGTTTCTTTCCTTCTGTAATACCAAAAATGATCAAAAACCATTGACTGAATAACAGGAAGTAGAGGTGAAAAAGACTTTTAGAGGTTTCGTTTGTGTGTTAGAATAAAAAGCCCTTTGGATCGTATGAGCTGTAACCTGTTACTGTGGTGTTTAAAGTCTGCTTCAGCTGTAACATGTAGAAGAAGCTGTAACCTGTTACTGTGGTGTTTAAAGTCTGTTTCAGCTGAAACATGTAGAAGTAGCTGTAACCTGTTAATGAAGTCTGCTTCAGCTGAAACATGTAGAAGTAGCTGTAACCTGTTAATGTGGTGTTTAAAGTCTGTTGTAACATGTAGAAGTAGCTGTAACCTGTTCATGTGGTGTTTAAAGTCTGTTTCAGCTGAAACATGTAGAAGTAGCTGTAACCTGTTAATAAAGTCTGCTTCAGCTGAAACATATAGAAGTAGCTGTAACCTGTTAATGTGGTGTTTAAAGTCTGTTGTAACATGTAGAAGTAGCTGTAACCTGTTCATGTGGTGTTAAAAAGTCTGCTTCAGCTGAAGCATGTGGAAGTAGCTGTAACCTGTTAAAGTCTGCTTCAGCTAAAACATGTAGAAGTAGCTGTAACCTGTTAGGCTGGTGTTTAAAGTCTGTTTCAGCTGTAACATGTAGAAGTAGCAGTAACCTGTTAAAGTCTGCTTCAGCTGAAACATGTAGAAGTAGCTGTAACCTGTTAAAGTCTGTTTCAGCTGTAACATGTAGAAGTAGCTGTAACCTGTTAAAGTCTGCTTCAGCTGAAACATGTAGAAGTAGCTGTAACCTGTTAAAGTCTGCTTCAGCTGAAACATGTAGAAGTAGCTGTAACCTGTTAATGTGGTGTTTAAAGTCTGCTTCAGTTGAAACATGTAGAAGTAGCTGTAACCTGTTAATGTGGTGTTTAAAGTCTGCTTCAGCTGAAACATGTAGAAGTAGCTGTAACCTGTTAATGTGGTGTTTAAAGTCTGCTTCAGTTGAAACATGTAGAAGTAGCTGTAACCTGTTAAAGTCTGCTTCAGCTGAAACATGTAGAAGTAGCTGTAACCTGTTAATGTGGTGTTTAAAGTCTGCTTCAGTTGAAACATGTAGAAGTAGCTGTAACCTGTTAATGTGGTGTTTAAAGTCTGCTTCAGCTGAAACATGTAGAAGTAGCTGTAACCTGTTAATGTGGTGTTTAAAGTCTGCTTCAGTTGAAACATGTAGAAGTAGCTGTAACCTGTTAAAGTCTGCTTCAGCTGAAACATGTAGAAGTAGCTGTAACCTGTTAATGTGGTGTTTAAAGTCTGCTTCAGTTGAAACATGTAGAAATAGCTGTAACCTGTTAATGTGTTGTTTAAAGTCTGCTTCAGCTGAAACATGTAGAAGTAGCTGTAACCTGTTAATGTGTTGTTTAAAGTCTGCTTCAGCTGTAACATGTAGAAGTAGCTGTAACCTGTTAATGTGTTGTTTAAAGTCTGCTTTAGCTGAAACATGTAGAAGTAGCTGTAACCTGTTAATGTGTTGTTTAAAGTCTGCTTCAGCTGTAACATGTAGAAGTAGCTGTAACCTGTTAGTCTCGTGTTTAAAGTCTGCTTCAGCTGAAACATGTAGAAGTAGCTGTAACCTGTTAATGTGGTGTTTAAAGTCTGCTTCAGCTGAAACATGTAGAAGAAGCTGTAACCTGTTAATGTGTTGTTTAAAGTCTGCTTCAGCTGAAACATGTAGACGTAGCTGTAACCTGTTAATGTGGTGTTTAAAGTCTGCTTCAGCTGAAACATGTAGAAGTAGCTGTAACCTGTTAATGTGGTGTTTAAAGTCTGCTTCAGCTGAAACATGTAGAAGTAGCTGTAACCTGTTAATGTGGTGTTTAAAGTCTGCTTCAGCTGAAACATGTAGAAGTAGCTGTAACCTGTCAGTTATGTGTTTAAAGTCTGTTTCAGCTGAAACATGTAGAAGTAGCTGTAACCTGTTAATGTGGTGTTTAAAGTCTGCTTCAGCTGAAACATGTAGAAGTAGCTGTAACCTGTCAGTTATGTGTTTAAAGTCTGCTTCAGCTGAAACATGTAGACGTAGCTGTAACCTGTTAATGTGGTGTTTAAAGTCTGCTTCAGCTGAAACATGTAGAAGTAGCTGTAACCTGTTAATGTGGTGTTTAAAGTCTGCTTCAGCTGAAACATGTAGAAGTAGCTGTAACCTGTTAATGTGGTGTTTAAAGTCTGCTTCAGCTGAAACATGTAGAAGTAGCTGTAACCTGTCAGTTATGTGTTTAAAGTCTGCTTCAGCTGAAACATGTAGACGTAGCTGTAACCTGTTAATGTGGTGTTTAAAGTCTGCTTCAGCTGAAACATGTAGAAGTAGCTGTAACCTGTTAATGTGGTGTTTAAAGTCTGCTTCAGCTGAAACATGTAGAAGTAGCTGTAACCTGTCAGTTATGTGTTTAAAGTCTGTTTCAGGGACAGAAACGGAGCAGGGGGGATTCTTCAACACAAAGTGAACCAGCACTTTTCTCTCTCTCCGGTCTTTCTGCTGTGAGTAGACTCAGGATGAAGCTGCAGTCCATTCGGAGTTCAACATGATGCTGGCTTCACTTTCATCTCTTAACTTCAGAATACAAATCAGGCCACTGACTCCTCAAAGAGCCGCCTGACCTTTGACCTTCAGGATCCCTCAGGGCAGATGTCTGCACGATGTGAAGCTCCCTGGCATGACGTGGAACCCTCCGTGGCGCCGTGGTGACCTTTGACTTGGTTCTTTTAGGTGGAGCGGGGGTTGTGATGCGTTTAGCGGCGCTGGTCGACACCGCGGCTCCTTTTCCTGGTTTGCGGCTGCGCGTGCTGTTGGACGCTGAGGCTGTTAGCGTCTCCAGCAGCTGGGATGCAGATCCGAATCGGACATGTTCCTCAATCTCCGCAGCCTCGGAGAGCAGAGACGAGGTCCCCGCGCGCTTGCTGCACGAGTCACAGCACAGCTTGCTGTAACCTGGAATGGAGCAGTATCTGGCTAAGACCTCCATCTGGCAGAAGATGGATTTGTCTCCGTTACACGGCTCGTCTGAAAGGCAAAGGGAAGGCAGAGTGAGCTGGGTTCTTCAGCAGTCGGTGCATCACACAACAAAGAGACTAAAAGCTCTGACAAGTGCTTCTGCACATTCAGCTGAATGAAGCTCATTCCTCTGCTTTTACAGGAGCAGTGACCTAAATCCTTTTACAACTCTACAGACGGATCCCTGGAAGGTTCTGGGTTTGTCCCAGTTCATGCACCCACCCATCTCTAGTCCATTTGAGTCACGGTGGAGGGCCTTTGTTTCTTTAAACCATATATTGTTGCTGATGTTTGAATTCCTGCTGCTGTCAATCCTTCCAGCCTTTTCTTACCGCCCAACGTGTTCCTGCTGAGTTTCAACTTCAACTAAAATCCACGAAGGACAGAAAGTTTATGAGCTTCTGCCTCTCGTGCTGCAATGAGCTATGGCTAACGATAAAGCTAAAGCTAACGATAAAGCTAAAGCATCAGTGGGAGAAAAGCAGTATTAAACAAATTGTGTTTGGTTTTAAAGTGTAAATATTTCCTGAAATCTTATTTCAAATGATATTTTTGCCATTTTCTGCATCATGTCAACTAAGGGAGATAACAGTCAATGTGGGCGGAGTCTTTAAAATCAGGAAATAGTCCAGCAGTAGGCCTGAGCAACACTCAGAATCAGAAGCCAGTTTGCCGTCTCAGCTGATTTTGTTCAAAAAGCAAAACTTATTGTCCGTGTTGACTTTCTGGCCGGAGCTTCTCTCTCTGTTGCGCCAAGGTGCAATTGCTGTTTATAGACAAACAATTACCGCAATATTACAACCTAGCGAGGCCGAACAAATGCAACTAAATTCGGGCAACGCCTTGCCGGCATGGCACATTTGTGAAGCACACTACTGCGGTAACATTATGCTGATTTGCCATTATGGTGTGCCTTGTAAAAAGGGCTAGCGTCTGTCTACATTCCCTCTGTGGGGAATTTTCTCTTCAGCCTCATCCTGAAGGCTCAAGGGCACCAGATTGTGATGAGACTAGTTTTGGGACAGGCAGAGATACATTTCCTCCCTGCCTTACATTTCCATTGGTCTCAAATCCTCCCAAAAAGCCGAATAATGGTGATTAAATTATTCCACGCCGTTCAGGGACCACGCTCTACATGATGACAGCCACCTTTTGTGTCAAAGCTGGAATCGCAGCTAAAGTCTCCAGCCTGCGATCACAGCACGGTAACCTCTGAGTTCAGGAAGCATTCCAGTCACCCCATAGAGCTCCATAAATTTCCGACATACCAGTTAACCACTCACGCCAAAAAGCAGAAATCCGTAAATCAACACTGCGAAAATCAATACGTCTTCAGTATCGTCCACGGAAAGCTGGGAAAGGTATTTCACATTCCACTAGCAATCCAAAATGTGCCCCACCGGACGCATTCCATTCGGACATGAAGGAGCCCCTTCCTCCAATCTTATTGTCAAAAGAAATCTTGTCAATTGTGTTGAAAGACCAACTGACCAGATCCATATTTTAATCATTTCCAGATTTCAGAAGCAATGCAGAGAAGCGCTGCGGACAAGGACGTAATTTTCACTTTAGAAGTGGGGGGGACACGGGGGGGGGGGGGGGGGGGGGGGTATCTTTACAGTATGTTCTAATGGGAAACAGGCTTCAACACAAACGGTTGTTTTCCGCTTGGTCCTAGAGCTCAACCAGTGTCAATTTAATATAGCGTAATATTGTTTTTGGATGGTAAAAAGTGCAGGGGTCAAAACTTGACTTTGGAAAAAGTGGGGGGACATGTCCCCCCTGTCCCCCCCCAAAAATTACGTCCATGGCTGTGGAGATAGGACAAAGAGTCGTGGGAAGAGAAGAAAAAGCGACTGCACCCTCCAAAAGGCGGAAGAGAAGCCAGATTGCTAACAAGACAGTGGCTAATTTCTGGCATTTTACACATGTCTTGCTCCAGAACGTCCCACTGATGCTCTAGAACGCCATCAAACGTGTTTACTTTACCAGCGTGATGCAGCAGCAGCAGTAACACAAACAGAAGAAAATAAGCATGCTTGCAGGAGCTCAGGTCCTGTTGAAGTTAAGCTAAAGTGCTTGTCTGTGCATTTGAGCTTGCAGATGTGTGGTTACCATGGTGATTAATGAGCCACTGGCAGCAGCTTCAACATTCAGACGCGGCATTGGGCCCGTTTCTTTAGAAATGTTTTATATAAAATATAAAGAGCAGGAAGTATAGACTCCTGATCTGCCCAAGGTTCTGTCCTCACCTTGGCAGGGTCCAGGTCTGCACGTCCTCACCGTCTCAGGTTTCTCTCCGTTACACTGGTCTCCAATCCGGCAGGTGACCAGTCGCCTTTCCATCCCCTCTCCACACGTCACCGAGCACTGAGCAGGAGACCAGACAGCAGTTAGAGGGAGGCAAAGCTGGAAGGAGTGGAGACAGGTCACACGGGTGGCAGTAAATGTCTGGATAATTGGCTGCAATAACAAGCTGACTTCAACTTCAGTTTCCACCTGGAAACTAAACGCCCCAAAACATAATTTCTGCTTCTTCCCGCTCAGTGTTTGGGTTTGTGTGCGGCCGTGCTGCGGGATCTGTAGGGAATCGGATCAATCGCTCAGTGCCAAAAGTTTGTCTGTTCGGTTTTATTTTCTATCAACTTTACCGTTTTCACAGGCTTCCATCAATTCAGTGGAATTCTCTTACCTTTAACCTGCGGGGTCATTTTATTTTAATAATGATGATGATAAGTGATGGGTTTATTGGTACCCATGGGGTCTCTGCTTCTCGCCCATCCCTGAGGAGCAGTGGGCAGCATAAACCGAGTTTAAGTCCAAAATGTTACAGAACTATTAAAGGTGTGATTTGTAAGAATGCCAGCTTGTGGTCAAATTAGGTTCATTTTCAGGCAAAAATATGACGTCTCACTCAAGCTCTATGAGTTTCATGGCCGTTGTTATGGAACAGCACCAGAAGATTCTAGATGTCGAGAGAAGATGAGTCACACACAAAATCCTAACTGTGGTCTGTGCTTGTGTACCAAACTGCAGCTCAGACTACCCACCCTTTTTGGAGACCTTGGAGGAGGCACTGGAGGGCGCTCCTTCTGGTGACTCCCTCGTTCTGTTGGGGGACTTTAATGCTCACGTGGGCAATGACAGTGAGACCTGGAGAGGTGTGGTTGGGAGGAACTGATTTGAATTTGAGCGGTGTTTTGTTATTGGACTCTTGGATTTTTCATAAAGAACACCATTGTTAAGGCATAAAGGTGTCCACATGTGCTCTTGGCACCAGGATACCTTAGGTGGCCAACCAGAGCTGTGGCTGCAGGGTCATCGGTGCCCTTGAACCCGCTGGTGGACACCAGTGGTTAGGGATACCATCAAGCTGAAGAAAGAGTCCTATCAGGAGAGGAGGGTCAGATGGATTATCAAACGTTGGACATAGGAGGAGCAATGTGGTTTTTGTCCTGGCTGTGGACCACTGGACCAGCTCTATACCCTTAGGGGGGTCCTGGAGAGTGCGTGGGAGATTTGTGGATTTGGAGAAGTCGTTCGACCGCATCCTTTGAGGGGCCCTGTGGGGGGTAATTCGGGAGCGTGGGGTACCAGGCCCTCTGACATGGGCTTATAGGTCCCTGTATCATAGCCGTTTCTTCCTATGTGCAACCTATGCTGCTGCATAGGGCCCCCAAGCCACTAGGGGCCCCCAAAGCTGCTGCGGTTGTGTTGACGGCGACACAAACTGTCTTTCATGCTTTACCGTAACCCTTTGGCAGTTTGTGCAATCAACAGATTCTGAAAGCTGAGACGATGTACTTTCCAGTGGTGTACAATACATTACGGTAACGTTAAGCAAGTCCCTGCCCGAGAACAAGGAAATAAACAGTCTGCCATGTGCCGTGCTTAGAGGAGCGAGAGGAATTGTTCTGGATGCGTATTTTCAACTTCTATCTCTTCTACTGGAGTAAATAATAATTATTTTCAGTAAATTTCCTACTTTGTGTTTTTATTTAGTAATTTTAGATTATATTTAGTAATATTTGACATAGTTTTGCCGTTTTTTTGTATTCGTTCGGTCATAGTTTTGTCTTTTTTCAGCTACGTTTTTCACTGAGGCTTTGTATTATTTTTTACGTTAGATTTGTTTTTGTGAATAAACCAGAAACCAGGAAACCTTCTAGAAGGAGGAAACTTCCCTCAAAAGTTGTTGATGCAAGATGTGCCCACGTTGTTTTTCCATGCCAAATGCAGTAAGTATCTCTGCACTAAACCCGTTCCAGTTTCTATTGTCTAGTATTTCTGCTAATACTATTACTATACTATTACTGCTACTTCCTGGAAAACTAAAGGTCCATGTACATCTGTGGTTGGGGATTCAGGTGTGGATGAAGATGATTTGCCATCGCAGCCGCAGTAAGTTTATCTACAGTTCAAATATATTTCTAGCTTTAGTTCTGTCTTTTTTTATTTTTTTACAGTTTTCATTTTCTAGTATTTAGCACTTGAGTATCTTTCATAAAATCGGATGTATTTATAATTTTAGAGATTCTTCTGATGAAGAGCCATCCACCATCACTAGACAATGTCAGAGACAGGATCTTGCTGGAGATGCGCCACATCTTCTGGACTCCTGGACAACAAAGTCAGACCCAGGTACCGTCGACCCATGACACCCAGATTTATCCCCAGTAGAACCCCTGGCTATCAGCAACAAGTAAATGGCAAATGGCCTGTATTTGATATAGCGCCTTCTAGAGTCCTGGAACCCCCCCAAGGCGCTTTACAACACAATCAGTCATTCACCCATTCACACACACACATTCACACACTGGTGGTGATGAGCTACAATGTAGCCACAGCTGCCCTGGGGAGCACTGACAGAGGCGAGGCTGCCGAGCACAGGCGCCACCGGTCCCTCTGACCACCACCAGCAGGCAACGTGGGTTAAGTGTCTCGCCCAAGGACACAACAACAGCGACAGACTGAGCGGGACTTGAACCTGCAACCTTCCGATTACAAGGCGAGCACTTAACTCCTGTGCCACCGTCACCCCATAGTGTTGCCCCATGCTAAAAGTAGCAGAAGGAGGCCATGAGACATCAACCATTTCAAGAGCAGCAGTGTGCACAGGATGAAAACCCTCCAGTGGCCTCTGCTCAAGGTCACATCCCTGTCCCCTGGACCAGTGGAGAAGGGATGGACCAAGCACAGAGGGCAGGTCGGGGTGAAACAGGTACACTCAGTGCAAAAAAATAAATAAAACACTCCCTGGATATGCAAAGTGTGCAAGAAAGAGTTTTGCCTGCAGCAGGACAAGAACTGCTCTGCAGAATACCGCAACAGCTAAAAACACCTGAACACTGACAGACAATATCTACGGAAACTCAGACACTGAAAGTTGTACATACAAATAAATCAATACAAGGTTGCAATTAGGGCTGAAACGATTCCTCGAGTACTTCAAATAATTCGAGTTCAAAAAATCCTCGAGTCAAATTCTCTGCCTCGAGGCTTCGTTTAATTCATGTTTAATTAATTCATGGCTTTGCAGTCGCCCGGGGTCATGTCTCACCCGGACGGAAATAAGTGACGCACATGCACACTGCACTACACGGCACACGCGAGTAGCGAATGTAACGTGGACCTCGGTGGAGTGCGAAAAACACTGAAAATGTCAAAGGTGAGGGACCATTTTTCACGTCGTAAGGCGGGAAACTTAGTCCAGTGTAAACACTGTAAAATGGATTTAGCCTATCATAACACCACGTCCTCCATGCTGCAACACCTGACCAGGAAACATCCACGTGTAAATGTCACTTCTGCAAGCGGACTCGGAGGTCCGCTATATATTCTGTGGACACCCTGTGACTTTTTTCATTTGTAGCACTCAGTTTCAGCTCACACCGTACGTCTGGTAGCAACACGTCGGACCTAAAAATGTGCTAAAAATAGCTGTTTTTACACAACACGTCAGACTTTATATTGTGTTGTTATTGATGGCTGTTGTCCCTTGGGATCGCTGCAGGAGGACACCGGTATTTATGAGAGGTAAACAAAATAAAGTAAATAAATGTTTGTGGTCAGAATAATTTGACATAACCACGGCAAACATGCTTTCTCGACAATCCTCGTTATTGTGTGAGAAAAAAAGTGTAGAAATTAAAACGGACGTGTGTTAATAGGGAAATGGCTGGCGATCCATGTTACGCATGCGCCGTGAGCGGTTCTGGTTCTGTTTGGGCCGCAGCTGCTCGCAGCACTACTTCAACAGTTATCCTACTAGTTTTTGTCTGAAGTTTTGAAAACTAATTTTGAATAAAACGTGAAGAATAACTGGCAGTTGCTAGCTCATTTCAAGAGGTCTTCCATATTTTATAACATGCTATTTGATATAACGGTTTACAAACACAAAAGGGTCATTTATTAGAGTACTCGATTACAAAAATATTCGATAGCTGCAGCCCTAGTTGTAAAACATGTTATGCTTGATTTCTGCTATTTCAGATTTTTTGTTCATGTACATTTACATTTTCTATTCAGAAAGATCTGACGAAAAATCAAATGCTTTTTTATTACAGTTATAACATACTGTTTTGGTTTAAAATGCCTATTCTAAACGACACACCAGCTTTAAATGTTAATAGCCCAATAAAACCAGAGTTATACTTAAAATAATTAAATCTCAGACCATCAGAAAGATTGTGATCTTGACCACTGTCTTGATACAGGAATCTTTAATCAATTGTCGTACTCGTTCACGTGCACTTAGCCCCTTTATTATGGTATGTGTGATGTGAACAGCCCTCCCAGGGTGGAGGTCTGCACTCTGACTGCTTTCTAGTTTTTATTAGTTAGTTATATTTCTTAAGTGAGTGTTTAATTTTGATACTGTACATGTTTGCTTGCAATTTGTGACAATTCATGGTGTGTTGTAGACAGTGACGGGAATAACGCTATTTAAAATAACGGCGTTACTAACGGCGTTCTTTTTTTGGGTAACGGAATAATCTAATTAATTACTTTTCAGTCTAGATTAGTGTAATGTTCCTGTTAGTAGTTCCTCCTGTTAAGTGCTTATTTATTTAAATTATTCAGGTTTGTAAAAAACATTTTGACATACATTTTATTTTGTTCCAGTCATTAGTCATTTATATTTCACTACTGTAGTAATCTATATTAAATTAAGTAAGTTTAATTAACCCATTCTTCTTGCATTCTTTAATGAAAAAAGTAACTAAGTAGTTATTTTTCTTGGTAATTGGTTACTTTTATAATCTCGTAACTCTGTAAGTAACTGAGTTACTTTTTGAGAAAGTAATTAGTAACTATAACTAATTACCTTTTAAAAGTAACTTTCCCAACACTGGTTGTAGATCATCAATTGCTGTTTGTCAAAACAAGGGGGCCCAGAACATTATCTTGCATAGGGCCCCCACAATGATAGAAACGGCCCTGCCCTGCATGACTGGTGTCAGAGCTTGGGCTGCACTGCTGGCAGTAAGTGAGAGTTGAACTTCGCCAAGGTTGCCCTTTGTCACGATTCTGTTCATAACTTTTATGGACAGGATATCTAGGTGCAGCCAAGGTGTTGAGGGGTTAGGGCCTCTACTTTTTGCAAATGTGGTCCTGTTGGCTTCATTGGAACGTGATCTCCGGCTTTCGCCGGAGCGGTTCACAGCCGAGTCTGAAGAAGCTTGGATGAGAATCAGCTTCTCTAAATCCGAGACCATGGTCTTGCATCGAAAAAGGGTAAAATGCCTTCTCCAGGTCAGGGATGAGGTCTTCACCCAAGTGGAGGAGTTTAAGTATCTCGGGGTCTTGTTCATGAGTGAGGGGAAGATGGAGCGTGAGATTCCTAACCCTAACCCTCGCCTATGGTCACGAGCTTTGGGTAGTGACCAAAAGAAAGAGACCACGGATACAAGTGGCTGAAATGAGTTTTCTCCGCAGGGTGGCTGGGCCCTCCCTTAGAGATGGGGTTAGAAGCTCGGTCATCCGGGAGGGGCTTAGAGTAGACCTGCTGCTCCTCCACGTCAAGAGGAGCCAGTTGAGATGACTTGGACATCAAGTTAGGATGCCTCCTGGACGCCTCCCTGGTGAGGTTTTCCGGGCATGTCGAACTGGGAAGAGACCCAAGGGAAGACCCAGGACACACTGGAGGGACTATGTTTCTCGTCTGGCCAGGGAACGCCTTGGAATTCCCCTGGAGGAGCTGGCCCAGGGAGAGGGAAGTCTGGGCCTCCCTGCTGAGGCTGCTGCCCTGCGACCTGTCTCCAGATAAGCCTAATGGGCACATTTGCATCTTATAATAACCATGATTGGACCAAATCACTGAAGAAAAATTGAATAGCTTTTTCTTGGTGTTAATGTTAAAGTGTGAATGACAACATGATTAAAATTAATATTTCTGTGTGTGTAACAAAAGGTCGTAAAGTGTTATTATTGTTACTATAATTACAAGAAGACAGCGTTTCTGTTCCAAACGAGGAGTGCAATATTTCTTCTGTCACGGCTGAATGATTCAGAAATGAGTTCAATTTATTGAGAAGTCGACCGCAGCTCACGGGATCAGCGTTGGGAAAGAAACAGATCCGTAACCAAACAATAGAAACCATATTTACTCTCACTGTTAAAGCAGAAAATGAGTTTTATAGATGAACGGTTGAGATAAAGCCAGAAAACAACAATCCAACATTGGTTTCATTAATTTCTAAAATAGCAGATTTGCTTTTACCTTTGTTTGAACAATCATCTATAATTGATTTTTATCTGATGTCGACATCTGGATCGACTCAATCTCTGGATTTTTCTATTTAAACAGGAGCTTTGAAAGCAAATAAAAACTAAATAAATACTGTTACACTCACTGGACACTTTACTGGGTACACCTTGCTAGTACCAGGTTGGACCCCTTTTTGCCTTCAGAACTGCCTTAATCCTCTGCGGCATGGATTCAACAAGCTACTGGAAACATTCTTCAGAGACTTTGGTCCATATGAAACCAGTCTGAGATGATTCAAGCTTTATGACAGGGAGCATTATCCTGCTGGAAGTAGCCATCAGAAGCCATCAGATGGGATGGGCACGGTCAGCGACAATACTCAGGTAGGCTGTGGTGTTGCAACGATGATCAATTAGTACTAAGGGGCCCAAAGTGTGCCAAGAAAATGTCTCCCACACCATCACACTACCACCACCAGCCTGAACCGTTGATACAAGGCAGGATGGATCCACGCTTTCATGTTGTTGACGCCAAATTCTGACCCTACCATCCAAATGTCGCAGCAGAAATGGAGACTCATCAGACCAGGCAACATTTTTCCAATCTTTTTTTCTCCACTTGTGGTGAGCCCGTGTGAACTGTGTGGTCTTCTGCTGCTGTCACCCATCTGCCATTTTGATGTGTTGTGTGTTCAGAGATTCTCTTCTGCACACCTTGGTTGCAACGAGTTGTCAGCTCGAACCAGTCTGGCCATTCTCCTCTGACCTCTGGCATCAACAAGGCCTTTTCGCCCACAGAACTGCCGCTCACTGGATGTTTTCCCTTTTTCGGACCATTTTCTGTAGAGATGGTTGTGCGTGACGATCCCAGAAGATCAGCAGTTTCTGAAATACTCAGCCCGTCTGGCTCCAACAACCACGCCACGGTCAAAGTCACTTAAATCGTCTGTCTTCCCCATTCTGAGGCTTGGTTTGATCGTCTTGACCATGTCAACATGCCTAAATGCATTGAGTTGCCACCTTGTGAGTGGCTGATTAGTAATTTGCATTAACGAGCAATTGGGACAGGTGTAGCCAAAAAAGTGGCCATTGAGTGTCTGGTTGAGACAAATTTCATCATTTAGTCTCAGGAGCACAATGGAACGGCTGTAAAACCTTCTGTTAGCTAAAATCTGGGTAAAAATGCATTTATTTGATGGGTAAATAGAAAAAGGTGTGTTAATGCACACAGAATTAACATGAAGCCCAGAAAGGTGCAACACACAACACAATTAAACCTCAAAAACAGAACAATCAACACCAAATTCCTTTTCTTTTTCTTTTTTTTTTAACTAAATATGTAAATTTTTTATTCTAAACACATTTTCATCAAACTGACCTAAATAAACATTAAAGCTGCAACGGCAAATATGGAAAACAACATAGGTTGAAACATTTTTTCAGGCCTCTTAACAACGTTCTAACATAATATAGCTATAGATATATTGTTGAGAAAAAAAAGCAACAACAAATGAAATAATAAAGTGGTTCTCTCGCATTTGTCTAAAAACCTCCACCAACCACACGTTTCAGACTAAACCAGCCATCGGACCAGCTGGTTGTCGTCTCACCGAACCGCCGCACCTCCCCGGGTCCTCCACTCATCTCACACTCACGTTCTCAGCACCAGAACACCACATGTGTGAGAGGTTCTCCGCTCCATAACATCAGAGGAGGAGAAACAGCCGGCTGCTACCGCTTCAGCTTTAGGACAAACTACCAGAGTCCCAAAAAGAAAATCACCGTCTGAAGTCACGGACAGCAAAAGACGTTTGGAGCTAGAAAACGGCGACTGGTGTTTTAATGGTAATGTGGGCTTCCGGTTCCGACAGCGGCGTCTCAGGGAAGATACCCGAGGGGAGGGGGAGTGTTCCATGACGGTTCAAGAATAAAGTGCTATTAGTCGTCACCCACTGGTGAAGTTAGTTCTCCGCATGTGACCCATCCCCTGGGGGAGCGGTGAGCTGCAGACACGGCTGTGATCGGGAACTATTTGGGGATTTAACCCCCCGACCCCTTAATGCTGAGTGCTGTTGGGTCTTCGGTATGACCCGATCGTGGATTTGAACCCACGATCTCCCAGTCTCAAGGCAGACACTCATACCACTAGGCCACTGAGCTGGTGATTCACCAGCACAGCTTTCATCAGCGTCTGACAGAAAGACTACATTTTAGATCAGATCCAAAATAATTGTGAAGAATTCATGAAAATGAAACGAATCTGAAAACTCTAAACTAAGAAATGTTTGATCCTTTACTTTTCGGTCATATCTGGTAGGTTACACGTGTTTCTGCAGCGTCAACAAAGAATTAGAGAACACGAAACAGGATGTGATTAATGTCAGACACTAAATACTATAAAGTGTAATCAGATTACCTCAGACCAGGCTCCGCTCCTCCACTGAGCGGGACACGGGACTCTGTTGCACGGCCTGCGACTCTCGGGTTTCTCACCGCTGCAGTATTTGCTGTGGATGGAGCGGTTGGTGCCGTCGTGGAGGAACTGCATGCAGCGCACCGTCCGGATCTGAAAACCGAGGCTGCCGCAGGATTTGGTGCAATGTTCCCACTCCTCGGAGATCCACCTGGACAAAATACACCCGGGATATTCTGTTAGGTGAGACAGCGCCACCGTCCCTCACAGCGGAGGTGGATGATGAGCCTCTCGGGGTCAGAACGCCACCGAAGGTCACGAGACACCAAATCAGAGATTCATAGATCAGCTGGAGAGATGAGAGTTTTTAAATAATAAAAGCTAAAAACGCTTTTGACAACAAAGGTAAGACCTGTCCACCAACAGAGTTCAACATGAGTCCTCTCTCCAACAACCTGTCCCCCTTGAGGATAATCGTGTCCTTAAGAGTGTCTCTGAGATGTAAATGGACTGGATTCTGGCTCTGCTGTCTGGTTTGTTTCACCAGTTTAGAGCCGAGAACATTCCTCGCTGCCCTGAGACGCCGCTGAGCTCGGGGGATTTGTGCTCGGTGTGGACGTGTCTCTGTCCACGAGTGGCTGGAAAAGAAACGTGTCAGTTTCTCTGAAACAGACACGCCAAACAAAAACGTTCCTTCGCTTCCATGCCCAAAGAAGTCCTGCTGCGCTTAGACTGGTTTCTGTTGTTTAAAACTGTGTTTCCATGGTAACCGGGATAGCTGTGAAGGATACATATTATGGGATGGTACTGTTGCCTTCAGTTCTGTTTCCACCAGAAGCTAAAGCGGTTGCTCAGCTGAGATGGTTCAGGCAACGTTTAGGAGGTCTTCTGGTCGGCTGCTTCTGGTGGTTTTCTAGGAGTGGAGGAAAACCTGGAGCAGATCCGGAACCAGCTGGAAGGACTGGGATCCTTTGAGATGAGTTGGAGCGTTTCTTTTGGATTGCTGGACGCGTTTCCTCAGTCAGAGCGACACAAACCCAAACGTGAACCACCTTCTGGGTTACACCCAGAAAATATGATAACAAGCAAAGTTTAACTCGAGCAGAAAACGCTCAGCTAAAGAAGCCAGAGCAGCTTCACGCTTCTAAACGTCGTCACACTTCGAAGTTCGTCAAAATGATTCAAGCTAAAAAAAAAAAAAAGAAGACTAAAACAGCCAGAGGGTTGAATTGTTCATCCAGGTGCTGTATCAGAGCAGCCGCAGCATCAAAACGTGTAAAAATATTCTAATAAGTTTGGCGTGAAATAAGAAACGCGTAAACAAAACAAAGCCTGCGGGCCGGTTCTGGAGGTTACGATCAGACCTGCTGCTTCACATCCTGTTAGTCATGACAGCAGCTGCTGCAGGTCGTCTGCATTCCAGGCAGCTGTGGGCTCACAGCTGGAGCCACCGCAGAGTCAGGCACCCCTAACCCCCCTCCGCGTTGCGCCACGGGGTCGCTTTGAAGGAAGCCATCTTTTAAACGTTGAGCGGTGCATGACTGATGGGTTCAGTGGGTTTTGGCTCCGGTGTCACTTTCATTTATGAACTTTTAAAATGTGACGGGAATCGGCAGCTGGAGGCAACGCTCCAGCCGCTCCATCAGCTCCTCCGCTCTCCAACCAGAAGCTGAACAAGTCCATTTAGGAGGATTAACAAAAGAACCGCTGAAATAAAAGAAGCCGACCATCGCCAGCTGGGAGTGATGAGAGGTTCAGGATCTGCAGCCGATGCCAGAAATCAGGATTTGCTGCTGTCTGCCAGTTTGGCGGCATGTTGATAGGGGAGAAAACCATCAGAGAATAAGAGTTTCTGTCAAAACCTGAAGACAAACAGGTGGTTCAAAAAGACGATGTACCACGTCTCCATGTGGATCGCTCCACCAGAGGACGGCTGGTCGCTCAGCGCAGCACCAGGACAAAACCACAGGCTGTGATGGACTTACTCAAGAGGGACCTTCTGTCATCGTTTCATGGTTCAGACTTGATGCTTCCCTCCAGCTCAGCTCGGACAGCTGAAGTGCTAACCCATCTTCAGAACGATTTATTTACGTTATAGAAATAATCTCAAAACTGTAAAACGTAAATCTGACACCAATCACCCCGATGAGGCGTAACCAAACTTAGTTCTACTATTTTTGCTGTTTGGTTCACTTTTGGTAACGGGATTTCTAAACGATCCTTTCCCACATTTTTTTGGAATTTGGTTTTGTTTTGTGCTTGGGGAAAAAAACTGGGCTGCTTCAGATGCATGCCCCTGCGTGCTCTCTTTGCTCAGCTAACCAACATTTGCTCGTCGTCCCAAGAACAAGGCTGAAAACAAGAGGTGACTGGGCCTTCGCTCCAACACTATGGAACGAGCTCCCACTTGTCAAACAGTCCCCATCACTGCAGGTCTTTAAAGAGGGACTGCACAGAAAACGTAACTCCACCCCTAGTCCAGATATGAAAAATGCTATGAAAGTGGGCGTTGCCAGGAGGCACAAAGGGGCGTGGCCAAGTGTGGGGAATTTCCATCCTGGGAAGGAGGGGGAGTGGGAGGAGTCTGTACCCATGATGTGAAATTGTTCAAGCCCCAGCCAATCACAAGTTTAAAATGCCGTCGCTGCTGTTCTGCCACAGGGGGCAGCACTGAGACGGTTTTAGACCTAGATTCAAGATTTAATCAAGTTTACACAAACATGTCAAAAAATGCACAGAAACAGAAAGATTGCATTTGTAAAAACCCAATTATACAGTTTATAAGCAAAAACATGTTATTCTGGGGTTTAGTTACTCTTAAAGAGTCGTTTGAAGACTTAATTTTATCGTTTGGTTTAAATGTCATGTGGATTTTTAGAATTGTAGTCTTTTATCGACCCGTTTAGTTATTTTAGTCACTCTTTTGTGCAGTTTCAATCAGTCTTGTGGACTCTCTGCTCTTTTGTTGTTTTTATGTTATGTTCAGCGTCTTCGGCTTCTGTAAAGGCAGTGGAAGGCGCTATGCAAATAAAATCTGATTGATTAAAAAAGAGATTATTTTTAATGTGAGGAAACTGGTTTAGTAGAAACACTATCCAGGCATTTTTCTCATTTTCTGATAAACACCAGAGAACACTGAAAAGCAGCCGTTTAACTGCAGATGATTACCGTTTCAGGGCGAGGATCTGGTATTAAAACCGTGTGTGTGTGTGTGTGTGCGTACATCACAGCCCATCTTCACTTTGCTCATATTAAGGAGTATTTTTAGGCCATCGGACCATCACCGCCGGCGTGTGAATGGATGAATGACTGCCTGTGCTGTACAGGTGTGTGTCATTAATCCTTTACCATAATAAAGCACGAGGAATGGCCACACGTCTGTTTGATTAAAGTAAACCCAGAAGGAGAAGCGATGCGATGAAGAATCCTGCAGACAGAGGAGGTTTGTGTTGTGTTGCTTCCTGATGAATCAGTCCTGTGATTTTTTTTATTTCCGCTCTCTGTGTGCCGCCATCTTCAGCGGCGGTGAGATCCAGCATGCACACGCTGTTCGAGCGGGATTCCTTTGGCCTTCGTTGCTGCGGGTTCCATCTTTAGAGTACAGCTTGTTTTCTCAGACATCCTCCCCCGCGAGCTTCCTGTGGCTTATCACCAGACTTGTGCTGTAAAATCTGCTTCTTCCTCTTCTTCCGTTGAATTTTCTTCCATTTTTCTGGTGGACATAATAGTCAACCACCCTGATCCGGAAAACTTTAAGCAAAAATCAGTCTTTTGTTCAGTCCAGCTGCTACTGATGTGAGAAGCGTGTTGGTATCAAATAAAGTAAGGGTAAATGGTAAATAGAGCTCCGGACCCCACGTGACTCTCAGTTAGTGGACGCCATTTTGGCATGCAAAAAAGGTAAACAAACACGGATGTAACCATGAACATGAACGGGATCCGCTTGGATTTTACTTCGTCGGAGTTTACTTCACACTTTAAAACAGAAGAAATCGTTTTATATAGTCAGAAATTAAACAGACTAAACATCTCCGACCCTTACCGTGCCCCTGGGATACTTCTTAAAAACGCCAGAAGCTGTCGGAGCGGACTTCTTATCGGCACAACACCGGACCTGACCGGGGAACCCCTTGGGATTTACCCGGAGGAGCTGGCGCGGCTGGGGAGAGGGAAGTCACGCTACTGCCCCCGCAACCCGACTCCGGATACGCGGATGAAAATGGATGGATGGACGGACAAATAACAGATTTACACGTAAGTAGTCTCAGTGAGACAGATAACAGCAATCCAAAGTGCTTTTTATGTGTGATCTGACAATTGATCAACCATTGCTTAAAAAGTAAATACAGCTTAGCCGGTTAATTTCTGTGATCATAAAACACGTAAACGGCAGCACGCAGAACTCACGAGGCAACGTTTTACGTGACGTTTACTTGCTGCTGTGAGTAATTAGACAGAAAAAGCCACGCCAAAATAAGTTTAGGAAGCCCACTAAGAATCGTAATAAAAGCATTTAAAATAAACACCATACACAGTTGAGGAAACGTTGGTTTAAGTACCTGATATGAAGCGGTCGCTGCATAAGAGAAAACCTTTACTCTCTGGATCCCACAGTTTCACTTTCGCCCGGTCACTAACGCCTTTTATTACAATGATCCAACGTTTGTGGCGCTCCGGATCTTGGGGAATCCTGTAGATGGCACATTCCTTATGTCGTCCGCGTCTGTTCTGCATCCTGGGGCACAACAGGAATCTACCATATTTCCCGTTTGATTGAGTTTTCTGACAATAACAAATAGTCCAGCTGCCGGCTTCTGCATGCCAATATGGCGCCGTTTCGATTTGAACTGTTGCATGCCGGGAGAAGTGACGTCAACTCCCGGAGCTCTATAGCCTGTATTTGAATAGTGCCTCCTTAGGGTTCTACAACCCCCCAAGGCGCTTCACAACACAGTCTCCTGTACATCTCCTTTAAGCCCCATGAGATGTCTAAGCTGCAGCTGTTACACACCTGCTTAGACTCTATCAACACCTGGATGGTGGGAGGTTTCTACAGCTGAATGAAGATAAGACTGAGATCCTCATCTGTGCCCCAGACAAGCTAGTTTCCAAAGTCAGAGACTCTCTTGGTCAGCTTGCTTCTCACACCAAACCTTCTGTCAGGAATCTTGGCGTGACCTTTGACCCAGCTCTCACCCTGGATTCTCATGT